TTATATATGCTGCAGACAGAATACTTTTCATTGTGTCAAAAGGTAATTTTTCAGTGCTGTCCCATGAAGAGATATACTTAAATATTTGAAGAAATTTTAGAATGTACCTTTTCCTTTTGCTATAATATATTATATATATATATATATATATATATATATATATATATATATATAACAGAAAAATTTAGAGGTTTATTTAATGGTTTGAATTTGTCTTACAGTTATTTGAAACGACTGAGTAGTGAGTTAGTAGCTCACTGGGTGAAAACCTACTTTTAGCCTTGTGCCAAATCTAAAGATACACTTAGAAAATCACTATATATATATATATATATATATATATATTGGATGTTCTTAAACCAGAAAATGTTAACGGAAAAAAAAATTGAGTAACGACGTAGTTTTAGAGAAAGTAGAAACAAAAAAGGACACTTATATTTTTAAAAAATAGATCTCGCTTTAAGCAATGGAGTAAAGCTTCTAAGAGACAAGGGATTACTGGGTGTAGAAGAATTAGGAACAGAAACAATTATAACTAGCTTAAAAGCCGCCCTATTGGCCCAATCAAGGGCTCTCCCACAGAGGGCTCTTGATTGGGCCTTCACCACAATAAGTAGGGAGGAGTAGATGCGATAGGCAACAATAAACTACACAAGAACTGAAAACTGATATCTGCATTTAAGTATTGCATTAATATTTAAGCTTACCTTTTAAAACTTCTACCGCCATTCAATTTAAAGACAATTTGATGTACTTAGGTCCTTACTTTCAGTACAAACAATTATTTTATTTCGTGGGTGACATTCTCTGGATGTCGCAATTAATTTCGATTATTCTCAAATTTGTTTCCAAGCTATAAAATTTGTTATCGTACAAAAAAAAAAAAAAAATTCCTCGCAAAAATCACGTAAAAAAATCGCCGAAAACAATCACAGTAATGAAAACTTGGGAATCCAAAATTTCAGGATCGCGGATCAGAATCAGACCCAGAATATTTTTAATTTGCTCACGGAGTCGGCCTGATTCAAAAATGCTATATTTTGGGCTATGGACCCAAATAGTAAATTTGAAAACACGGACAATTTTATTTTGAATACTGTAATTTGAGAAAAAGTATTTCTTTCATTTGACCATGAGCTATTGAAAGTTAGAGAGTTATATCCCTTTAATTATTTTTATAGGTAGAAGCCAAGATGGTGGAATCTGCAAACAATCGGAGTAATGAAAACTTGAGAATCCAAAATATCATGATATCAGATCCGAATCAAACCGGAATGTTTTTTTGTTTGCTCACGGCGTCGGCCTGATTCCATAATGGTATGTTTTGTTGGGATACGGCCGCTTCAAATAACGTTGAAAAAAATGTGACACATAGACATTCGCATTTATTATATAGATGAGCGGGAAGAGAAAAGATCATAATCATCATACAGTAGACAGTGATTGACAATGCATTTAAATTTTGGAGATTAAAGTTGGCTCATAAGCATGTATTATATAGGATATCCACAAGTGAGATGTGCGAGAAAAGAAATTTTTAGCATAGAACCTACGGCTATATATAACCAGCTCAACTGTAAACTGATGAGATCTCGTCACCAGTCTAGTACTGCGTTTAAATTCAAAACGTCTAGGTACCATAGCGAAGAGCGATATTTATTCTGTTAAATACACAGAAATGTGGCACATGACCGAAAAGTGGGGATTGGGGAAAGGACGGTCTTCTTCTGTCTTAACTATAACTTAGCTATCCGCAAACACTGACCCAATCGTACAAAACAATATTCCTTACACCAAAACAACACATTCATACGTACCTTTCTTACTACAACCGCCATAATACCTCTTTGTCTCTATGAAAATACTAACTAGTCCCTATATTTACAATTCGATGTCTGTGGGGGGAGAGGGGAATAAAAACAACAAATCTAAAAGTTAACCCCAATGAGTATTTACAATATGAATATAAAAAAAACTATTTACAAGAAATTAAAGAAAATAAGATTAGTAATAAAACCCCCCACAATTACTAAATGTGACAGAAACATCACTTCACTGGCCGAAATCAATGCGGGACTATAGTGTAAACCACTCACACTGACATGCACTCATTCAGACACAACAACAAATACGAAAAAACCACTCACGCGAAACGAAAGTCGCCCCGCATCCACCAGCGAACTGACATCACTGACCACCTAACGAGGGAGGGATGGGGAATTAAACTTAAAGAAAAGTAGGGACAGAAATAAAAGGGGGGGGGACAATGAGCATACATACCCTAGCTAAGTTAACTGAAAAAGGAAACTAAAGCATAAAAAAAGCGAAGAGCTCATTCGAACACTTACCAGCGTCATGATCGCAAAACCTCCTGAAGGGACACGGCGCACAGAAGAAGAACATATGAATAATGGAGAATTCCCTGACAGATGAAGAAGAGATTCGAGGCGACAGTGATGTTCTGCCGACGAATGTATAGAACACAATCGACAGAATATGCAAGCAACAGAAAAGTCTTAGCAAAAATAAGAACAACAAAAACTGATATATAAAATCCGAAAAAGACAGCTGAAAATGCCTGAGCACATAACGAGGAAAGAAAGGATGGAGAATTTAACACTCACAAGACACCATAAAGAGACAACATAAAGATGAAAAAAGCATGGAGAAATAGCTTCACATACTTAACAAATTTATGTGAATGGATTTCAGAACAAAGAAAAAGTTGATAGTAAGGTGCTAAAAGTTCTTTTTATATGATTTCACCCCAATCAAGGCAATAAATCCACTAAGACGCAAGTTGTGTGTATGAGTGTGGGTGTGCTAGAATATGAGAATAAGCAAATGTTATTAAGAAGAGCGAACAATAATTCAGAAGAGAGAATATAAGGGGTTACTAAGTGTGAAAGAATATGAGGAAAAGGAAAAAAACATTATTAAGGGTAGAGTTCGATAAAAGAACAGGAATTAAGGAAACAGAAGATAATGATTGACATTGCACTTAAATTTTTAAAGATCGAAGTTGACTGGAAATCAAGAAGCCGGAAGACTGTTCCACAAGCGAGAAGTGCGAGAAAAAACTGTTAGCATAGAACTTACAGTTACATCTATCCATTTCAACTTTAACATGATGTGACCTTGCCACTAATCTAGTATAGCGTTTCAATTCATAAAATCTAGGCAGCATAGCGGAAAATTCATCAGAACAGTTACCAAGAAAGTTATTGTGTTTCTGTCGGACAGAACACAATAAATAAATGAGTGATGTTTGGTCCCGGGGATTCCATTCCTGGGGGAGCACCTCCTTAATTGCATCAAAAAGGGAAGGTCGGTGGGATATCGATGCCAGTGCGATGTTGGTTGCGGGGACTGGGCAATTATTAAAATTATCATATGTGCACGCCCTTGGGCTCCCCACTTTAAACCGCACTTGCGTCATATACCATCACTCTTGGCGAAGTAATACCATGAGTAGTATCTGTTCATCTCGTTTCGTAAGGGTAATATTAGTCATTTCCGTATAAGAAGACATTCAGCTATCATTGAATATGAGGAAAAGAAAAAAAAATTATTAAGGGTAGAGGTCGATAAAAGAACAAGAATTAAGGAAACAGAAGATAATCATTGACATTGCATTTAAATTTTTGAAGATCTAAGTTGACTTGAAATCAAGAAGCCGGAAGTGTGTTCCACAAGCGAGAAGTGGGAGAGAAGAAACTGTCAGCATAGAACTTACGGTTACATCTAGACATTTTAACTGTAAAATAACGAGACCTTGCCGCCAATCTAGCAACAATTCGTAAAGACTGGGTAACAAAGCAGAAAGCTTATCAGAACTATTACCATGAAAATAGTCATAGAAAAGACACAGAAAAGCTAATTTACTGCTATGGGAATGTGAGTGAATATGAGATGGCAGGTCAGGGCCGATAATATTTCAAATTCTTTGGATCTTACAAAGAATATCTAAATACATAGCAGAGCACCAGACCAGATGTGGCGGCAATATTCAATGCAAGACTGAATAGTACACTTATAAAAGCTACTAGAGTGCCAAACAAAGAGAACGTTGTGGAAAGCCATAATCGAAAAGAATGGAAGTCCAGAGTGCATAAAAGAAAAATAACTTCGAAAATTAACAGGTCACGAAATTTTTTTTTTTATTTACTTGTAAAATCCGTCACATTTAAGAGATCTTCAAACTGATTATACATAATCCTGCATGATTAGACATTAGCGATAATAATTATTCAGTTAAGAATTCGCGTTAATTTTTTTTTCAAGCATAGGAATGTATTTGTTGCAGGTGTAACTCGATATAATCTTCACTGGAAGAGTCGTTCCGCTTCAGGTCATCCAATGCTATCTTCCTGAACATCAACTAAGAATGAAAACCCAAACCTCACAAAAAGATTTATGATTACCAAGGAAAAATAATTCTGCAAGGCTTCATATAGTTAATTAACTGCAGTGTTGATCACGAAAACAGTGCTTTCTGTACAGCGTTGAGATATAATATTCAGCCCCAAAGGGCGGCAGTGGTTCTGATCGGTACAACTGAAGGTCGTACGGAAACCCTATCTTGAACTAAATGTGGTGAATGATATGCAACTCACACTATTATCAAAGTTGTTTATCAACGGGGACCCCTGCAGTTTAAATTAGAAACGAGGCCGCTCCGTGTTCTTGCGATTTTATCAACATGCTCTCGATGTCCTTCTGCATTCTGCAGGGTGGTTTTGTATCGAGGTCAGCGTCTTTCCATGGGGAGAGTAAGCAAGCGAAAAGTGACCGCGTGTTTTGCAAGTGCGTTAATCGCCAAACGCCTTGTCTTTTCGAATCACAAATTGGCCACCGTTGATCAAGGAAAGTCCGAAATGCACAAAGGTGAAATTTGAATTTTTTTTTCTTCTAAATTTTTCTTTCTTTCTTTCTTTCTTTCTTTCTTTCTTTGCTGGTTTGTTGCTTCGTTCGTCATGTTCCTTATTATCGATTTTTAGTTTTTTCTTTCTTGCTTGCTTGTTATTTTCTTTATTTTTTGCCTCTTTCTTTTTTTCTTGTCATTTTCTTTTTTTTTGTATCTTTCTTTTTCTTTCTGTCTTTCTTTTTTCTTGTTTATGATTTCTTTATTTTTTGGCCTCAATTTTTTCATTCTTTTTTACTTGCTGATCATTGGCTGCAATTTTGTTTCTTTGTTTGTTTTTTTCTTTCTTAACTCTTTTCTTAGATGTTTTCTTGTCAATTTTTAGTTTTTCTTTCTTTTCTTCTATGTTATATTCTTTATATTTTGTATCTTTCTTTTTCTTTTCTTTCTTTCTTTCTTTCTTTCTTTCTTTCTTTCTTTCCTTTTCTGTCTTTCTTTCTTTCATCCCTTTTCTTTCTTTCTTTTCTTTCTTTCTTTCTTTCCTTTCTGTCCCTTTTCTTTCATTCTTTTCTTTCTTTCTTTCTTTCTTTTCTTTCTTTCTTTCTTTCTTTCCTTTCTTTTCTTTCTTTCTTTCTTTCATCCCTTTTCTTTCTTTCTTTCTTTCTTTCTTTCCTTTTCTTTCTTTCTTTCTTTCATTCCCTTTTCTTTCTTTTTCTTTCTTTCTTTCTTTCTTTCTTTCTTTCTTTCTTTCTTTTCTTTCTCTTTTCTTTCTTTCATCCCTTTTCTTTCTTTCTTTCTTTCTTTCTTTCTTTCTTTCTTTCTTTCCTTTTCTGTCTTTCTTTCTTTCATCCCTTTTCTTTCTTTCTTTCTTTCTTTCTTTCTGTCTTTCTTTCTTTCATCCCTTTTCTTTCTTTCTTTCTTTCCTTTTCTGTCTTTCTTTCTTTCATCCCTTTTCTTTCTTTCTTTCTTTCTTTCTTTCTTTCTTTCTTTCTTTCTTTCTTTCCTTTTCTGTCTTTCTTTCTTTCATCCCTTTTCATTCTTTCTTTCTTTCTTTCTTTCTTTCCTTGTCTGTCTTTCTTTCTTTCATCCCTTTTCTTTCTTTCTTTCTTTCTTTCTTTCTTTCTTTTCTTTCTTTCTTTCCTTTCATCCCTTTTCTTTCTTTCTTTCTTTCTTTTTTCTTTCTTTTTTCTTTCTTTCTTTCTTTTTCTCCTATCTTTTCTTTCTTTCTTTTTTCTTTTTTTTTCTTTTTTTTTCTTTCTTTCTTTCTTTCATCCCTTTCTTTCTTTCTTTTCTTTCTTTCTTTTCTTTCTTTCTTTCTTTTCTTTCTTTTTTTCTGTCTTTCTTTTCTTTCATCCTTTTTCTTTCTTTCTTTCTTTCTTTCTTTCTCTTTTCCTTTCTGTCTTTCTTTCTTTCATCCCTTTTCTTTCTTTCTTTCTTTCTTTCTTTCCTTTTCTGTCTTTCTTTCTTTCATCCCTTTTCTTTCTTTCTTTCTTTCTTTCTTTCTTTCCTTTTCTGTCTTTCTTTCTTTCATCCCTTTTCTTTCTTTCTTTCTTTCTTTCTTTCTTTTCTTTCCTTTTCTTTTCTTTCTTTCTTTCTTTCTTTTCTTTCTTTCTTTCCTTTTCTTTCTTTTCTTTTTTCATCCCTTTTTTCTTTCATCCTTTTTCTTTCTTTCTTTCTTTCTTTCCTTTTCTGTCTTTCTTTCTTTCATCCCTTTTCTTTCTTTCTTTCTTTCTTTCTTTCTTTCTTTCTTTCCTTTTCTGTCTTTCTTTCTTTCATCCCTTTTCTTTCTTTCTTTCTTTCTTTCTGTCTTTCTTTCTTTCATCCCTTTTCTTTCTTTCTTTCTTTCTTTCTTTCCTTTTCTGTCTTTCTTTCTTTCATCCCTTTTCTTTCTTTTTTTTTCTTTCTTTCTTTTCTTTCTTTCCTTTTCTGTCTTTCTTTCTTTCATCCCTTTTCATTCTTTTCTTTTTTCTTTCTTTCTTTCTTTCTTTCCTTGTCTGTCTTTCTTTCTTTCATCCCTTTTCTTTCTTTCTTTCTTTCTTTCTTTCTTTCTTTCTTTTTCTGTCTTTCTTTCTTTCATCCCTTTTCTTTCTTTCTTTCTTTCTTTCTTTCTTTCCTTTTCTGTCTTTCTTTCTTTCATCCCTTTTCTTTTTTTCTTTCTTTCTTTCTTTCTTTCTTTCTTTCTTTCTTTCTTTCTTTCCCTTTTCTGTCTTTCTTTCTTTCATCCCTTTTCTTTCTTTCTTTACTTACTATTTTCTTTCTTTGTTGTCTGTTAATTTCTTTATTTTCTAATTCTTGCTTTTTTTTCTTTTCTTGGGTCTTGCCTTTTCTACCTTTCTATTTTATTTATTTGGTTATTTTTTTCATTGCTTTTTTCCGTTCTTTTTTCCTGCTTTCTTTCCTTCTCATTGGCTGTTTTCTTTCATTTCTATCTTTTAATAGGGACTTCAATTTATTTCTTTCTTTTTTCTTTTCTTCCTCGATATGTTTTTCTTTCTTTTCTTACTTCATATTTTCTTTCTTCATTCATTCATTTATTCATTCATCTTTCCATGTTTCTTACTTTTTATCTTTGATTCTTTCTTTCTTTTCTAAGCCTTTTCATTCTTTATTACATTTTTTAATTTCTTCCTTGTATTATTTCCCTTTTATTTTTCTTCTTCCTTCTTTATTTTTCTTTATTTCATTTGTTCATGTTTGCTACTTTTGAGCTTTTCGTGATGTTTTCACCCATTTCCTTCTTTTTTTTCTTAACTATTATTTTCTTTCTTTTGATGGGAACTTATTTTCTTTCTTTCGTTCCTTACATTACATGACACTTCTTTTCTTCTTTCCTTCTTCTTCTTGTATCCTTTTTCTTTCTTTCTTTTCTTGTAGACTTTTTATGTCTTTCTTTTCTTTTCTTTCTTTCTTTCTTTCTTTTATTCTTTCTCTTTCTTGTATATCTTTTCTGTCTTTCTTTTCTTTTATCCTTTCTTTTATTTTATGTTTTCTTTTCTTTCTTTCTTTCTTTCTTTCTTTATTTCTTTATTTCTTTCTTTCTTTATTTCTTTCTTTCTTTCTTTCGTTATTTCTTTCTTTCTTTCTTTCATCCCTTTTCTGTTTTTCTTTCTTTCACCCCTTTTCTTTCTTTCTTTCTTTCCTTTTCTGTCTTTCTTTCTTTCATCCCTTTTCTTTCTTTCTTTCTTTCTTTCTTTCTTTCTTTCTTTCCTTTTCTTTCTTTCTTTCTTTTTTTGTCTTTCTTTCTTTCTTTCTTTCTCTTTCTTGTATATCTTTTCTGTCTTTCTTTTCTTTTATCCTTTCTTTTATTTTATGTTTTCTTTTCTTTCTTTCTTTCTTTATTTCTTTCTTTCTTTCTTTATTTCTTTCTTTCTTTATTTCTTTATTTCTTTCTTTCGTTATTTCTTTATTTCTTTCTTTCTTTCTTTCATCCCTTTTCTGTTTTTCTTTCTTTCACCCCATTTCTTTCTTTCTTTCTTTCACCCCTTTTCTTTCTTTCTTTCTTTCTTTCTTTCTTTCTTTCCTTTTCTTTCTTTTTTTTTTTCTTTCTTTCTTTCTTTCTTTCTTTCTTCTTTCTTTCTTTCTTTCTTAAAGCTTATTTTTAATTCCATGTTTTCTTTTTTCTTTTTCCTTTCAACGAAATTTCTTTCTTTTTATTTATTTATTTTCTTGCTTCTTATTTTCATCCTTTTTCATTTTCTTTCCACCTTGGGTCCTTTTTTCATTCTTTCTTGTTTTTTTTCATTCATTCATTCATTCATTCATTCGTTCTTTCTTTCTTTCACATGGTTATATTTTCTTTGTCATTCTCCTATGTCAATTCTTCTGTTTTCTTAATTTTTTCTTTCTTTTTTTCGTATTACTGGTTGTCCTTAATTAGTTTTTCTCCATTTTTATTTGTCATTCTACACCTCCTCTCCTTCACCCCAAATTCACATTTCCACCATTTCTCATGTCCTCCTCAGTTAAAACATTTTCGTTGGAATTTTTTAAAATAAGAAATCATCATTATTTGATACAGAATTAGTCATTCTTGCGCAAGCCACATTTACGATGGCTGTACACTCTGTCTCACTCAGGTGTCTCTGCTAGTGTTGATATGAAATTAAAATTCTTGATATATTAATTTACTCGGAATCTTGTCCTAATCTTGGTTGTTATTAGCCAGCGTTTCGTCCATTTATACCCTGGCCTTCGTCAGGTATGTATCTAAACAGGTAACATTCTGAAGTGACCATTTTTTACACACTGATTTACTTGGACTAGTATCTTCATCTTGAATGTTAAAGAATGAAGTTTCGATCGTTTCTGCTTCGGTCTTCTTCAGGTGTCTGTTGTTGTTATGGCAAGCATGCTTTATACGATAATTTAAACGGGAACTTTTTCTATTCTTTGATGTTATATGCCAACGTTTCGACCGTTTAAGCTTCGGTCTTCATCACGTATGTATCGAAGTTACAGTATTACTTGAGTACTACGGACAATAGCAACAACTTAAATGGTTAGCACGTGTATCTCGAACAGAAAATAATGGCATAATCAAAATGTTGAATTTCCACACTATTTCAAATAAAAGATTAGGAAGGAATCAACCATCAATACTTGAGAAAGCTATAACAGTTGAAACTTATTTTCCTGAAAAATTATTTTAATAGATAGATTTTAGAAATTTCAACTGGAAATAAACACTGGCGTTTCGTTCAATAAATGCCAAATGTTTCTGTTGTGGCCTTGATAGGGCCAGAATTAAAGACACAAAGAGAAGAATTGAGTATAAACAAATATATTAAGAGAAACAGAAATACAAACATATACAAATGAAAGTGTTACACAGCAAGAATGTTCGGTCCAACTGTCAGAGCTGACTGCTGGAAACTTCTCTCTCTAAAAGGCAGTACCTGCTCCTATTTATAGCTGGGAGAGTTCATGCGTGCGTGGGTAAATTACCATAACAATCACATCCTCGTCGCGAAGTTGTTGTGGCCTTGTTAGGGCCAGAATTAAAGACACAAAGAGAGGAATTGAGTTAAACAAATATATTAACAGAAACAGTAATACAAACATATACAAATGAGAGTGTTACAGCAAGAATGTTCGGTCTGACTGTCAGAGGTGACTGCTGGAAACTTTCCTCTCCAAAAGGCAGTACCTGCTCCTATTTATAGCTGGGAGAGTTCGTGCATGTGCAGGTAAATTACCATAAGTTTCCTTATAAGGAAGCGGCTAATATTATCATTACTATTAGAAAGAAAAGAAAAGAAATTGAGTATACTGTGCCAGGGGTAGTTTCGCGTTACCCAGCAAAATGCTATGAAACCAAAACATCAACCTGAAAACTCGAGTCATATTCTTAAATTGCTGATCAGGACTTTCAGCTGGATGCTACGCATGGCGCCAAAACCGTTCAGAAATATGTAAACTGTCAACTGCATACAATTGACTTCCAAGATCAATGGTGAAAAAAAGGTTTTGAGCGTGTTAAGCCTGAGTATCTTGACAAAGATCGTCCGTCTTTGAACATTGTGGACTGGTGCTACAGAATAAAAAGCTACAATATAACAGAACCCACGTCACTTGAGGACTACCAACAGCAGCAACAACTTAAATGGATAGCACATGTAACATAAAGAGAAAAAATAATGCCATAATCAAGATGTAGGCATTCTACACCACTTTAAATAAAAAGTTCGGAAGGAAAACCACATCAGTTCTGAAAAGACCTATAACAGCTTGAGAAACCTGTTTTCCTGAAAAAATGTTTTAAGAGAAAGATATAAATTTCCACCGAAAGCAATATTGGCTGCTCGGTCAATGAATGCCAAATATTTATTGTTGGGAAACAGCTAATATTACCATTATTATTAAAATGTTAATGACTTTTTTCTGTTAGAGATTACGGCAACAGATACTACACATTGATCCCAGGCCGATGGCTTGTAATTGAAAAAAAAAAAAAAAAAAACGTAACTCGAATAGTGATTTTCCAAGCGTGGCTTAGATGTGGCACAAGACCGAAAGTATGAGGCACCCAGTGAGGATCAAACTCACTGCTTAGTCGTAATTGTTCTAGCAAGACAAGTTTGCTGACCATTACACCGCCTCGAGGTGCCCAAACCGTAACTCGAATATCACTGACTGTTCGGTCAATGATAGCTGAATATCTTCCTTATACGGAAATGGCTAATACAGGGTGACCCCCAAAAATGGGGACTTTTTAACAATCCAGTAAAACCAAGAGTGATGGAAGAAAAATATTTTATTCATAGTAATTGAAACCTTAAAACATGCCATTTAAGAAACAATGATGAAATTTTCATTTTTTAAAAATTACGTCCTGTAGATGGCGTCCTCCTGTACGAATGCATTCTTGAAATCTGCTGTTGAGATTCCTCATTGACTGCTGCAACATCTCAGCTGGGATACAGTGAATTTCATCTTGAATTCTAAATGGCGAAATGTTTACTTGCTCAAGGTCACTGTCTTGCAGTGTTGCTACTTGCTCATGTCTAGCAAGACGCACTTCAAAAATTCCCATTTTTTGGTGTCACCCTGTATTACCCTTACGAGACGAGATGAACAGATACTACTCATGGTATTTACTCGTCTCCGCCAAGAGTGATGGTATATGACGCAAGTGTGGTTTAAAGTGGGGAGCCCAAGGGCGTGCACATATGATAATTTTAAAATTGCCCAGTCCCCGCAACCAACATCGCACTGGCATCGATATCCCACAGACCTTCCCTTTTTGATGCAATTAAGGAGGTGCTCCCCCAGGAATGGAATCCCCGGGGCCAAACATCACTCATTTATTTATTGTGTTCTGTCCGACAGAAACACAATAACTTTCTGGGTAACTGTTCTGATGAACTTTCCGCTATGGTGCCTAGATTTTATGAATTGAAACGCTATACTAGATTAGTGGCAAGGTCACATCATGTTAAAGTTGAAATGGATCGATGTAACTGTAAGTTCTATGCTAACAGTTTCTTCTCACACTTCTCGCTTGTGGAATAGTCTTCTGGCTTCTTGATTTCCAGTCAACTTCGATCTTCAAAAATTTAAATGCAGTGTCAATCGTTATATTCTTCTTAATTCTTGTTCTTTTATTGTTTTCTCTCCTTAATACTAACTTTTCTCATATTCTCTGACAATCACTAACCTCTTGTGGCATAGTGGCTTTATTTTCTTTCTTTGGGTGAAATGATTAAAAAAAAAACGAGATATAAAATGTAGTTTGTGCGGGCGTAGACTGACACTACACTTTGATCCCAACACGATAGCCAGGGAGGAAGAAAAGCTTAACTCGAATAGCAATAGATGTTCGGTGAATGATTGCTGAATGTTTTCCTATAAAGAAACGGCTAATATTACCATCACCATTAGACAGGAAAGAGGACAAGAATCGTGAGGCGTCATCAAAGGTACAAGAAAAGGAACGTGATATTTATGCTCAGAATACTATCAGGAAGGCCAATACAAATATAGAAGGACGCTTACCTGTGATTTATATATATTACGTAAAGCTGTTCGATAAAGTACGCAATAGAGCTCTGTTGGAACTGCTCAAAAACCTTGACAAATTTTGGAACGATATAAGATTAGTCAAGAACCTGTACTGGCAGCAAACGGCATGGGGACAGAGAACGAGTTCAGCAGATATACAAAAATAGAAATGGGTGTAAGACAAAGGTGTGACTTATCACCGGATTTGTTCAACTTATACAGCGAGGCGATTCTGAGAGAATTAGAAGTCCTACCACGATTCATTATTGGCAGCCACAATCTTAACAACATAAGATATGCAGATGACACTATGTTGATAGCAGACACGGAAATAAAACTACAAAAACATCCGACAGAAGGTAGTGAAAGAAAACAAGAAGAAAGGACTAAACATTAGTTGCAAAAAGACAAAATGCATGGTTGTTAGTAAAAGGATGAACCCAAAATGCAAATTAAAAACGAAGTTACTAAAATCAAGCAAGTACAAAAATTTAAATATCTAGGAATTGTTCTAACAGAGAACGGAAAGTACGACATTGAAATCCGAAGACGCATTGGGATAGACAAATATTCATTTCAAAAGCTAAGCAGAGTATTAAGATACTGAAAAACTTAGAAACAAAGAAAAGAGTACTGAACTACTACGTATTGTCCGTCCTTCTGTATGGCAGTCAATTTTGGACAGTCTCCTCAGAGATGAAGAAGTGACTTGAATCAACAAAAATGTGGTTCTACATGATGAAGATTCCATGAACTGAACATGTGAGAAACGATGAGGTTTTACAGATAATAGAAACAAAAAGGAAACTTATAATTAACATCAGAAAGAGACAGCTGAAATTGTTGGGGAGCATAATGAGGAAAGAGGGCTTGGAAAATCTGAGACTCACAGGACAGATTCAGTTCAGGAGATAACAAAAATTATGAAGAGATACAAAGTAAGGGAAATTGTAGAGAGCCATGATCAACTACGTCCTGAAGTGACACGGCACATCAAGGAAGAAGATGAGAGAAGAGAACAGATACTTCACTTTGATCCCCGCCCAATACCAGGAAATGAAGAAAAGCTGCTTGGTCTGTAAATATTAGACATTAGGGACCAGCTTGAAGATAATTTTATAATTGTGTGTCCGTATATATCCGCTAAATTTAGCACAGCTTCATCTATTACAAAAACTCTGTGGTTCATCTATGGTAGACAGTTTCCGTGGTTAACGAGCAAATATATTCGGAACTTTGCCGCACTTGTCAAGAAGTGCAGAAAGCCCAATCAAGTCGTATCCAGTATTCTGATAACTGAAAATAGGTCACCCATCCTGAGACTGTAAAGAAAGTGTAAATAAATTTAATATTACAAGAATATCAGGGGAAATTAAACATCTGAACTAATATTTCATAAATAAAGTATTATTTAAATACAAGTGTAACCGTGCCGTCAAAATTGATTCCATGAAGGAATGTATTATAAGTAATATGAATTATATTGCACATAATTTTCGTTTAATCTAAATACAATTTTGTAACTTAAAATAGATCGTTATTAACGTTAATAATTGAATAGTGTACCATTTATAAACACCTAAGGAAAAATATCTGTATATTATCCTCATAAATGTTACATATTTACAACCAAAATGATGCTTATTGCAAAAGTTTCCAAAGCACAATATTTTTGTGTAAATTTTGGAAGGTCTGAGGAATCCTTGACAGTTCGTAGATTAAATCTGTAATTTCAGTGTCTGCATATTTGTCGTCCTACTAAGTCCAACGTATCATCAGATATTTTTTTCACAAAATATACTCCGAATTGTAACTTACAATAATTAACGAGAAAACGAATATATAAACCATCCAACCCACATTTTGCAAAAAAAAATAATCGTTGTATGATTTGTATTTGCGAAGATATTTTAAAATTAAAAATACGTAATAATTGTATTAGAATCCATTTTTAGCCATGTAAACGTTTCTTAATTCTCAGAATTAAAAGGTAAAAACGAACTGGAATAATTATTATTCCCGTTCGTTTTTACTTTTTAATTCTGCTGATAATTTTGAAACGCTGTATGTATTTTTAAATTTTCTATTCTTTTGAATTTATTTCTGTATCTTATTTTTGTGCAATTATATTAACTTTTTATTATTCCTTCATCATTCCAGATGTTAAAACCGAAACTTAATATCTATTCTTCTTTTTGACTTTACTTTACAAAAACAAATTTCAAACAAAATATCTTGAATTAGGCCAGGCAGGGCCGGCGCACGGATCTCCACCCTATCCCGAAACTATGATACGGAAAAATAATTTATTTATGTTATGAAAAATAATTTTTTATTTAATCTTTAAAAAACAAACTTCATTGTTTTTCTTTGGTTTGTTACTAATAAGAAAAAAGTAAATAATTTTAAATTAATTTTTATTAAAGCGAAAACTATAGCGAGCCTTATTTTTTCAAAAACTAATTTAAATAAAATATAGTTAAATTCGTAAAACAAAAATACAAACACGACTAATTTTGCCTGTAACTCATGTGTGTCTCTCAGAATTTTCATTTAACTAAAGTTCTTTTTTTTCTTTTTAAAACAAATGTAACTTCAATTTTTCATCGTTATTTTGCACACTTCCCATCAACTGTTATACAGAAATTTTTTTTTGCACACTGCCACTCAATTGTTACACACAAAAACGGAAATATATATATATATATATATATATATATATATATATGAAGATATATAGTTTTAAGGTGTGCTATAATTATGGGATAAAGTACTCACTATCAGAGATAGAGCGTATGTAAATATATATATAAAAAGTGAACATTGAAGTCAACACTCAGAGGTGACAGGCTGTTTCATGCTAGACGCAATCATCAGGCCTGACGATTGCGTCTAGCATGTTGACTTCATATGTTCACTTCATATATATATATATATATATATATATATAAATAAATTATTATTCCATAAAGTATATTTTAAAAAATTATTTTTTAAATTATTATCGTATATACTCGTGTATAAGTCTATCTTCATCTATAATGCGACCTCTGAATTCTTTTTCGAAAAACCTGACTTTTTCATATAGGTCATGTATAACGCGACCCCAGCTTCTGAGCAATACTTGTAGGCTTACCGTAGTCACATATTGCAGTCACAGGCATCATCCTGGGCATATTTTATAGCAAATAAATGGTCTTCATTCTTTTGTACAATGCTACCACAAAATAGTGAGCAATCCCACTTACTGTAAAATATCTGTTATGAAGATTTAGATACGATACTTTTGTTTTTGTCCATGCTTGACAACAGTAGCTCCTTTACCCTGGGCCTGCCTCTTATATAGCCTAAGTTTCTTCCCTTTTTTTTGCTATATGAAGAGCAAAACCTTACCCACTATATATGTCACATAAAATCAACAAATATCTTATATTAATTAAGAATTAATAGATTTTTCCTATCTCAAATTTTGTATTCATCTTTCTTTCGCAAGTGTTTAAATCGCCGAGGAATTGCCTTTCCAATGACAATCATTTTATCATGATTACTGGTACATGAGTTGAGATACATACATCGGGTTTTAATTCAAGTCATTCTAAGTCAGCAGTACTCTATACACATAAATTGTTTCATGCCTTATTTTGCCAGAAACTGAAGTTCTTTAAATGTGTATTGTGATGTATTGGCGGACCGGCTCTCCACTTTTGTTGCTACATCTGCTTCTGGTGCTGCTTCGGCTGCTGTAGCTGGCCACCTGATGTTGGTTAACCTATAGTGATATACATTATTATTTACGTTTAAAATTTACCTGTGTACAGCGCGAACCCTTTCTAAAATTTACCTGTGTGTAGTACAACTGGTTAGCGATTGTGATATAGGTCCATATAATTAAGTTAATATCTATCTATCTATCTATCTATCTATCTATCTATCTATCTATCTATCTATCTATCGCATTATTTTCCTATCTCTGCATTTTATATCTATCTATCTATCTATCTATCTATCTATCTATCTATCTATCTATCTATCTATCTATTTCAGTATTTTCCCATATCTGTTCTTTATCTATCTATCTATCTATCTATCTATCTATCTATCTATCTATTTCAGTATTTTCCCATATCTATCTATCTATCTATCTATCTATCTATCTATCTATCTATCTCATTCAATATGTATGTATCTTTCCCATTCTGTTCATATCTATCTATGTCTGGTCATATCTATCTCGTTTAGTTCATGTCTGTCTGTCTGTCAATCTATGTAACAATCTTTTTTACCCTCTTCAAGAAATATTACCTGTGTATAGTACCAACCCCTATTTTTGCGTATAATCTGATCATAATAACTGGCGCTACACTCGCGCATACACGGTATTCTTAAAGTATTATCATTTAATGCACTATTTTCAAAGCATTAATTTCTTAAGAATTATTTTCACATTGTTATTTTGTAATGTTTTATGTTCAGTGTATTCTATTTTAGAAGCACTATTTTCTGATATCATTTTAAAGTATTATATTCTAAAGTATTATTTTCAAAGTAATTATATAATATTATTTTGTTTTATTTTCAAACCCTTATATTCTTCAGTTTTTACAATGTATTATTTTCAAATGTTTACTTATTTTAATTACAATGTGTTATTTTTTAAGTAATATTTTGAGAGTTATTTTCTAAATGATTGTCTAAAATATTATTTTTAATGTTTTATTTCCAAATATTTCCTTTCTAATGTTTTGCTTTCTTACGTAACATTTTCTAAATTAATTTCCAAGTGATTATTATCTAACATGTTATTTTTCAAATATTCTTTTGATATGATTGTTTCTTAAAGTAGTTTTCTAAAATAATATTTCTAATTATTTTATAAATTATTTCTGCATATACTCGTATATAAGTCTAGTTTGTACATAGTGAGCTCTGAATTTTTTGTGGAAAACCTGATTTTTTCATATAGCTCGTGTATAATGCAATCCCATAATTAAATTATTTTCTAATGTTTTATTATTTCCTAGACTCGCCTGGTTCACACTCCTCTTAGTTCTTTTGAACAGCAGTAGAGACTCATGCTTTGTTTTCTGTTTAGGATTGGGTTTCCGGTTTCTTCGAAAAACTACTACAACTTTATATACGTCTAAGGTCTTCGTTTGAAATTGTCTTTACTAATTTTCTTCTCTCTTTTCAATTGGAGGAGAACAGGCCGCCTATTGTCCGATTCACACCCCTTCCCGTGAACAGGAGAAGAGGTTTATCTCTTGTTCAATGTTTGGGATCGGGTTTTCGTTTTTTTTCTAAAATCATTTAATTCTCTTTCGTTCCCAGTGGCCCCTCGTGTCTTCCTGGCGTTATCGTATTGCTGGGTGCGAATTGATTAAAAAAAAACATCCCCAAAGACTCTGATTCTTACGATATAATCCTTTACATCAAGTGACGCTTGAACATTGTTGAGAGTGAGGATAATCCCCCCCCAAAAAAAATCATTGTAAAAAGATTAATACTTTTAGATTATTATTTTCGAAAGCATTATTTTCTTAAGTAATATTTTCAAAAGGAAGATGGCGTCTTAAATGACTCCGGAATTTCTTTAAGAAAATATAAACGGAAAAAAACAACAACAATGGTTACACATATTGTTATATTCCGTGCTAATAAGAATATATACTTAACAAACATGGTGGATAGAATAAGTAAAGGTTTATTGTAAAAACCAGTACAATAAGAATAAAGGTAACAGTTATGCACAAGGTCGTCGCAAGTCAAAACAGTAGTGAGTGCTACTATTGGAAGGTGGGTAGTTCTCGCGTAAGTCTCAGTCGTACTCAACAGATCCCAGCTAGACGGTATCTAGCAACCCCCTCCCCCACGCAGTCACATGTGACACAATGCCGAATTTAATGTGGGGTTCCCTAGCCCGTAAGCCCGGCCAAAAAATCCCCGTAGACCCTGCCTTAACGGGATCGGGTCGGTCTACCTTCCCGAAGGAGACTCTCTCCTTCAACATAGCCTCGTCCGAGTTCCTCTCTGCTCGGAGGCAGAGAATTCTACCATCATAGCTGAAAAAATTTCAACTGGTATATTTAACAGCCCCCCATGAGGATCGTATGTGGCACAAGGCCGTGTTTATCGTGGGTTCTCAGAGCTCGTAGGCTCGGCCCCAGATATTCCCTTTGAACCCGTATAAACGAGTTCAGGGTCGGTCTACCTCCCCGAATGAGACTCTACCCTTCGGCATAGCCTCGTTCGGGTTACTCTCTGCCCGAAAGCAGAGAGTTCAACCGTACAGCTGAAAAGAATCCAGTTGGAATATTTAACAGCCCTCCACGCGGGTCTTATGTGGCACAAGGCCGAGTTTATCGTGGGTTCTCCGAACCCGTAGGCGCGACCAAAAAATTCCCTTTCGAACCCGTATAAACGGTTTCAGGGCCAGCCAATCTCCCCGAACGAGACTCTGCCCTTCGGCGGAACATCATCCGGGTTCCTCTCTGCCTGAAGTCAGAGAGTTCGACTGTGTAGCCGAAAAGATTTCGGCTGGACTCTGAAGTCCGTTGACTTATAGATACTTATTGGTAGTTTCTACCTATAGTGTATTCACTCATAGGGGCGACAGGTTATTCCATTACATCACATATGCATTAAAAAGAAACACTGAAAATGAAGGGAGGCTAAATTATTCTGGCCTCCGACGTGCCTAGATACAAGGGGTTACTGAAAGTGAGAGAATATAAGAAAACACTATTAATTAGAAAAGACAATAAAAGAACAGGTGTTAAGAAGACATAACGATTGACATTTAAATTTTTGAAAATCGAACAGGACTGGAAATGCCAATCTAGTACCGTTACGGCGGTGGGAAAAGAACTGAGGCCGAGATGCCCGCTCAGGACCAATAACATTCTTTGTATTTTATGAAGAATCTCTAAATATATAGCATAAGCCCCGGACCAGTTGTGGCAGCAACATTCTAAGCATGTATGAATGGTTGGTTGGTTGATTTTGACTTGTGACATATCAGTACCTTTGGGTTATTTAATGCCGCAATGTAAATATTTTGAACGCAATTGTATACTCTCAACTACAGATATAATGTATTATTAGTAATCTCAAATACAAATATGTATTGTTGGTAATTTCACTACAAATATGTATTTATACCCTAGTTCCCACCTTGACTTGACCAACTGGATAGCTACAATGCATTAGATACACGAGTTTTCTAAATAAGTTAAATCTTAACACCCCTAAAATAATAAAAAAAAGATGGAATTTTCCTCAACGCCAACATCTCAAAATATCAAATTTGTCTGGAATTATAAATTAAGTAAATCAATTTCTAAAAAGTTATTCTTAGCATCGCTTGATAATAGAACGGAACTTTGTATTTTAAGTTTAATGATTGAATTTGAATTAAAGTCTCAGTTTTGAAACATGGGAATTCCGGTGTTCCGATGATTATATATTTTTAAAAGACTATATATATATATATATATATATATATATATATATATATATATATATATATGCATTGCTGGTATTTTACTATAAAAATGCATTTTTAAACTTTCATAGTATTTTGTTTTTGTTTGGAAGTTCACAATTTTCTCATAACTGGGACACTAACTGGTGCTACCACTTCGGATCAGAATAGACCTGGTAACAACAGCAATTAATATGTGATTCCACTCTCCTCTAAACCTAGAATCTCCCGATCAGAGCTCTTGTTGCCGGATGTAATTCATCATACCTAACACTATATACGAATGGCAGAATTATAAATATGTAAGATAGATTCTGGAGAGACTAATTGCCTAGCACAATACAGCGAACAGATTTTCCTGGTAACAGAGCTGCCAGTTGTTTCAATATAATCGTTCTAATTCATGCCAGCGGGAAAAGTTACCCCGATAAGGCACACAGTTTCACTCTTATGGAAGTTAGCATCAGCCCTGCTGATTGACGGCAAACAATAAAACGTTTTCCCTATGATTTTGTTTACATCGCAGTTGTTTTTAAATCCATACACTGTGACAACAGAAGGTTAGTTAAGAAAGCTGAAATGTTTTAAGAACCTGGACGCAAACTTACTGTGAAACATTCAGAAATCAATGCCCATTCTATATTTTCACCTTAAATAGTAAATTTACGAAAAGAATATACATAGATTTATCCAATCGGATCTTCTATGTGCCATGTACCTCCAGGATGTTGGTGATTACGTCTCTCCACAGACTCCTCTCCTAAATAAAGGGTTCGGTTCGAGATCCCAATGTATCTCACTTGAAGAAGGTCGGAGCGTTTAACGGCTGAAATGTCATGAATATGACAATAAAGATGAGGACAACAGTCCGAACAATGTAAATAGTGTAAATAGTTACAATAGCTCATCTCAGAAATAGAGACAGATGTTGAAGGTGAATATGGCAATAAAGATGAGGACAACAGTCCGAACAATGTAAATAGTGTAAATAGTTACAATACCTCATCTGAGAAATAGACAGATGTTGAAGGTGAATATGGCAATAAAGATGAGGACAACATTCCGAACAATGTAAATAGTGTAAATAGTTACAATACCTCATCTGAGAAATAGAGACAGATGTTGAAGGTGAATATGGCAATAAAGATGAGGACAACAGTCCAAACAATGTAAATAGTGTAAATAGTTACAATACCTTATCTCAGAAATATAGACAGATGTTGAAGGTGAATATGCCAATAAAGATGAGGACCACAGTCCGAACAGTGTAAATAGTGTAAATAGTTACATTACCTCATCTGAGAAATAGAGACAGATGTTGAAGGTGAATATGGCAATAAAGATGAGGACAACAGTCCGAACAATGTAAATAGTGTAAATAATTAAAATACTTTATCTCGGAAATATTCTCAGATACAGGCAGATTTATCTGATCGAATCTTCTATGTACCTTGTACCTTCATGACGTAAGCGATTATGGCTCTCCACAGCCTCCTGTCCTTTGTAGCTCACCTAATAAATTACTTTATCTTTTAACTAAAGCAGTATTTAACACTTTGATTAATTTTGTCATTTAATTACGCAACATTTTTTCGGATATATAAATATTCTCCTATATTGCATTTTTATAAAGGTAATTTCTTAGAAAGAGAAAACAAAAAAACTACTGCCTCTTTTTTGCTTCATTACAAGAAACACATAGAGAGGGTGCCCAGTAAAAAAAGCGGCAAATTTATTCTTCGTGAAAATACACCAGCTCTCAAAGGTCCATCTCAGTGGGCATCTAAATG